GTAGACCCAGTGTTGGCGGTGGGTGGTGATGACTAGCTGCTTCCATCTAGTCTTGTATTGCTAAATTAGGACGGCTAGCGCAGATAGCCCTCGTGTAGCTTTGACGTAGAAATTACATAAAACAAAACGAAACCCTCTAGCTAATAGAATATAGTTGGTTAGGGCACAATCTGAGGGTCGCGGGTTCGAATCCCGTCCCACCAAACATACTCGCCATTTCAGTCGTGAGGGCGTTATAATGGTACGGTCAATATCGCTATTCGTTGGTAAAAGAGTAACCCATGAGTTGGCGGTGGGTGGTGATGACTAGCTGCTTTTAAATTTTATCTGTTATTTTCAGTGAATTTTATTATGAATTTCAGGGCCTTCTCTTTGAACCGTCTTTCTGGTTGTGGTTTTGTTAGTCTGCTCAGCTGAAGAAGCGTCCTTTAATTTGGGCATTTTCAAAGTTGAGGTGTGCTGCAGGTAAAACGTGTAGCCAATGGTTCTGATCGAACAAAATTTGGTGAAGTTGCATCAGTGTGTCTCCTTAACAACCAAGCAAACATAATTGGGAATTTCAACGAATGATTATGATTTCTGTGAGCCGGCAATACCAAATGTGTGTCTAAATTAGGGACGGCTAGCGCAGAAAGCCCTTGTAGCTTTGCGCAAAATTAAAAACAAACCAAACTGGAACCTTAGGGATATTTGACCTGACCCTTTAGCCCATGTGCATGCACAATAATGTGCAGATTGAAAATTCCAGTTACATTTTTTTGTCAGCAAAGGCAAAAAAAACCAAAAAAAACGAACATTACAGCAATGTACTTTTGGTCGAACTCAACCATATGAGAATCATCTTAATATTAGATTACCCTTATAATTTAAGAAAATATCGTGAAAACATTGTTTTTCCGATTTCGCTAGTTTCTGCGTGTACTGAGTAAATTATCGTTATCTTTATAGAGGAGGTAACAATCATCGTAAAAAATAGCGACCAAAATTTGGGATATATTTCGATATTAGTTGATC